ATACTCAAATTCTTCATCTGAATGATGTAGATAATAGTGGAAATCTTACAGGATGCAATTAAATGACACAATATATGGAAACACATTTATCACAGTTCATAAGACACAGTAGACACTCAGTGTTTGTTGAATCAATCGCTCCTTAAAATCAACCATTTCTAATAGCATCAGTTATCTTTTACATTTCCTTCTCTGACTCAACTCTTCTCACTGTTTCTACCCTAAGGCCCTAACCAACCTTAGTAAGTCATAACTGATCTCACATTCTCATTTTCCAGCCTAAATCTATCCACGCCCTACAACTCTGCCAATAATCTCTTTTCCCTACTCAAAAACCCAAAGGAAGGTTCTACTGCCTACAGGCAAAAGAGCGAAGTCCTCATCTTGTCATTCAACCTTCTAAATTTGTTTTCTTGCACATTTTCAAGCCATCATTCCCATTGATCTAGTTAGCGTGCACCCTTTGTTCTCACTGGGCTGGGTTTTGGGACACACTTGCTGTCACTCATGAGGTCAAGTTATGCCATTTCACCTCTTCCTGGAAATCTACTCTGGCAAATTCAGATTGACTATTTTCTGAGAGCCAAAGGTGTTACTTACAACCTATCTTGTACCATTGTTCTTTAAATATTTCAGTCATAAATATGAAAATTCTGCTTTTCTGAACAGATTATAACATTAATCAGTTTTATAATCATAGAATATTTTGTTGACCACAGTTTTTAAAGAGAAAAATTGCAGAATATTTTCCTACAATGTGGATTCATATGTTTACCCATATTCTCTGAAGCAACATCTTGAATATCGCAGAAAGTTAGAGGCAGAAGAGATTAGCTATTGAATAATATTTTTATGTGCTGTCAAACAACGTTATTTCTGAAAAATAGTTCATCACACATATCTACCACATGTGGCATATTAAAGGCAAATTTCACTTGTCAAAATAAATCAGTGATTCCTTAAATAAAAAAAAAATTTTAAATCACAACTACCTTGTGAAATATCTTCTTGAACTGAAACATCCCTGTTTGGATTTGTGGATATTGAGCAGGGAATTCATTGGTTCAAGATTAAAGGCAACAGTTTTAAGGCTGCTTTTATCCAGTTCCAAGACTGATGATGAGAAATTTTGTTGCTCATACCTCACTTTTCACAATGTTGATAACTGGCTTTATATTTACTGTTTTTGAGATAGCTTACAGTATTAGCCACATTCTACCTGTTTGGGAAGTTATAAAAGTACAAAATGTACTCACAGCTTCTTTTGAACAAAATCCTATGGTTATTCCCACTTATGGAAATTTAGCAATCATGTCAAAAAACTGAACTATGGTGAGCATCGTTCATAAAATATAAACCAATAATGACAAAAGTCAAATAGATCGCATTGCTGAATCAAATGGTTGATTGCAGCAGAATGACAACATGATGCTTTACATAAGCAGTAACTAAGAACTGTAGATCATCGATCATGGTGACATTGTTTCCCGCTGTACTCTCTCAATTTCACATTTTATATTGTATTTTGCAAAGTCTCTGAGAAAAAGAAAAAGGAAACAAACTATCGTTTAAGGATACATAAACCTCTGTTTAAGTATTTACGTAGCGGGAACTTGTAGCAGTTGGGACATTTTCTTATTATGGTATTTTTGCCCTACCAAGTTTTCCTGCAGTAACAACTGAATATTTGTTACAGTCATGATAGGCTCCCAGGATATACTCAATGGTCCTTCCAAGTAAGAAGTTGGGACAATTAGAATAGTATCCTGTACTCAACAAAAGCTAACAGGAAATCTATATTTTACCCATAGTTAGAAAAAAAAGTGTTAATCTCTCATTTTAACACTAATGCGCTGAAAATTCAATTCATTAAATTCAAGTGTTTTTATTCTTACTATTCTCTATTAAGAAAGCAGCTTTGCCAGTTTCTTTTCTTTGAAATAATTCCAACTTT